TAAGTTTTGTGCTGGATAGAAAATCATTGTAATGATTTCAGTTTCCCTGTTGTGTTTTTGGCAAGAGACAGATCCCAGTCACAGAGGAAAGAGCCTCGAAGAACAACCCATGAAATCCATGCAGGGATGGGAGCAGCTCAGTTCCCTGCCAGAGCTCAGAGCATCACTGAGCCCACCACAAAGTCAGGGTGCTCTGGGTGGATTCAGACCAGGGCAGGGTAAGAGATCCAGGTCTGCACACACAGGTAAGTGCAGCTGAAGCTCTGTGCTGTTGACATCTAACCCTGCAGACATGTACAACCCATAATTGTCTGTCTTACACCTAAATTCTCTTTCTGGGTGAGACTCTGCAGCTCATAAAGTAGATGTTCTTCATCCAGTCTTGCCTGGGAGACTCACATGGTAGGTCTTACAGCACATAGGACAGGCCTTATGAAATATCTAGTTTTTGTAGAAAAGGTGGTTAAAAGAATCACAGGTGGCATCTGATATGACAAAATTACTAAGAACTTGGAGGATTTCTCTGGAACAAGATGCTTCAGTGTATCTTCACAGAATCACAGAGTCACTTAGATTGGAAAAAACCTTCAGGATCACTGAGTCCAACCATATCTTAGTACTGGCTTGTTTTTCTGAACCACTTGGTGCTGTGGCAACTTATCTTCAGTGGATTAAATGTAAACTTAATGCAACGAAACAGGAGACAGGCTGGGAGAGTTGGGGTGTTCAGCCTGGAGAAGAGAAGGCTCCAGGGAGACCTTAGAGCACCTTCCAGTGCCTGCAGGGGCTCCAGGAAAGCTGGGGAGGGACTTGGGACAAGGGCAGGGAGGGATGGGATGAGGGGGAACAGTTTTGAGCTGAAAAAAAGGAGATTTCTATTATATATTAGGAAGAAATTCTTGACTGTGAGGGTGGTGAGACCCTGGCCCAGGTTGCCCAGGGAAGCTGTGGCTGCCCCATCCCTGGCAGTGTTGAAGGGCAGGTTGGATGGAGCTTGGAGCAACCTGGGCTGGTGGGAGGTGTCCCAGCCCATGTGGGGGGTGGAAATGGATGATCCTTAAGGTCCCTTCCAACCCAAACCAGTCTGTGATTCTATGATTTTAACCTTTTCTGTGACACAGGCAAAAAATGTTGATGCCATAACTCCCAGCTCAGCAGTCCCATCCTGGCCTTCTGGACATCAGGGGAACTGAGTCAGGTTCCTGTGCAAAGGGACTCCTACTAGTCATACCAGCAGCTCTGCAGGATGGCTCTGGGCACATGTCCCAGCTCCCAGTCCATCCAACATGGGTTTGGGCAGGTGTGCTGGCACCTGTTGCAAAACACACAGGATGGTGCAAATTCACTTGAATTTCTCAATAGTTCCCCTGGGTGAGTGTGGCTGTGGCTTTCACCATCTACTTGGGCTTTGCCATGCAGCTTTGAAATGTGGTTGCTGGCCTGGATAATATTGGCAGGGAGAACTTCTGCTTTCAGGCTGGGAAAGGACATGTTTGAGACTCTTTAATATGGTGTAATATTGATGGGAATTACAGGACCCTGTGGATAGGATCTGATGGTAGATAAATTCAGCCATGAAGTATATTCTGCACACTGTTACTATGGAGGACAATGAGCTTAGAGTTGCCGAACTTCATTCATAGAATCATAGAATGGTTTGGGTTGGAAGGGACCTTCAAGATCATCCAGTTCCAACCCCCTGCATGGGCAGGGATACCTCCCACCAGACCAGGTTGCTCCAATCTCCATCCAACCTGCCCTTGGACACTTCCAGGGATGGGGCTTCCTCTAAGTAAAACCAGTGGTTTGGGGGATAGTGGCACCCACAGTGTCTGTTCCCAGAGAAACTCATTGTTACTGTGTGTACAGACAGACACATCCCATAGTTGTCCACTCCAGGATGGTCCTGCCTCTATATTCTCCAGTTCCTTGTGGAGCAGAATCTGACCCCACATTTTTATTAACTTCATTTCAAGTAGGTGCTACATTTAGGGGGGGTTGTAGTAGCTGATCTCCAGAGGTTCCTTCCAACCCCTCATGTTCTGTGATTCTGTGATTTACAAATCTGACAATAGGATCGTGGGAAGGTTTTTTGTTGGTTTCTTTGGGTTTAGTTTTGGGGTTTTTTTTGTACTTTCAGCCAACTATGGAGTAACTTGGAAATTTTGGGCATGTATATAAAGACATCACACATGTAGAAACGTGTAACATCTCTTATGCATATTTTATTGTCACCACCTCCAGAGTTGAACACAGTTTGTGTAAGACTCTACACATCATCCAGGCTAGAACATGAGCACATCCTGAGTGTGGACACTCAATTCCTGTTTAGAGCAAGATAAAGAATTACAAAATGCAATGTGACAGAAGAAAATATTCCTCTCTCTTTTTTTGGTTGTTGTTTGTTTTTAATCTCTGCCTTCTAATGAATGCAAATAGTTAGATTTCTCTTTTACCTGAGGTGGTTCAACCATTGCCGCATGTCAGGAACTTTGAAAGGGTTGTTGGGCTTGTCTGATGAATTTGCAAGATGCTACATGATTTAAAGAACTAGAATTGCACAATTTGCAATTCTGTGTGAGCCAGAAAGACTGCCCACTCTATGCAGGGCTGAGGGCAAGGCAGGTGACTTTGCTATGGGAGATGTTCCTACTCAACTGCTTTTGGGCCACTGTTAATTCACTGGGAACCACCAGGGAGACAAAAGCCAAGACTTCACATCTGTGAATGTTTGCAGCCTGTGCCTGCAGTCTGAGACATGCAGAGTGTGCTAAGAAAAAAAGAACTGTAAGCTGAGAAGCTTGAGCATCACTTCTAGCCCAAATCATCATGGAATCATAGAACCAGAGAAGGGTTTGAGTTGGAGGGGATCTTGAAGATCATTTAGTTCTAACTCCCTTGCATGGGCAGGGACACCTCCCACTAGATCAGGTTGCCCAGAGTCCCATTAACCTTATATAAATATCCCTATAGAAGTATCCCTATATAAATACCCCTGAACTCCATTCCATAGTGTCCTGAGGAGAAAGTCTTTGAAATGAAGTTGTTCTGTGGAACTGAAATGGCACCTTTCTCCTGATGCTGAGGCCTATCAGCTCATCTCTGCTTCAATCAGCTCTTGCCTGGGCTTGCTGCAATGCCATCATGCCACTCACCTCACCCTGCTGAGGCACTTTGACCAAGAACATCATTTGACTTTCTTGGCTTTCATTCCTTCCTGAGGTCTGAAGCTTCTGCTGACATATTTTTCAATCCTTCTCATCCCAAAACCCACTTTTCTTTGGATCATCTTATGGGAACTGTCTGTGAAACTTGCAGTCACAAGAGGCAGTGGAGACCCAGACCTTTGTTAGGTTTTCAGGCAGGGACTGGGCATTGGTGCAGACAATATTTATAGTTTTATATGTAATACATTTATAAATGTAAATGAAAAGTTTGGAATTTCACTCAGTTTTGCATTATAAAGAGATAATGAGAACAGACCACACCATTCCTGTCTAGAGCCTGGACCTTCCTCAGAAGCACCCAAGGCTAGAAATTTTGGATTAAATATATATACATATATATATATAAAAATTACAATATTAAGAGAATCTTGAATTCCCAAGGAAGGTAACATTTCATTTCTGTGGGTTTAGGTTTTTTTGGGTCTCCTGCAAAACTGCTGTGACTTCATAGGAAACATGGCATTGCCCTCTACTTATTTATTACTTCTGAGGACTCTCACCTCCTGACTGGGTAGCAGAGCCTCTCTGAACATCACAGATCTGTAGATTTGGCTCTACAAGACTTATATTTAAGTGGGGTTAATTGTGTGAACAGCAGTTTTAAGGACTCCTGATCTACAGCCAAACATGGTGTTGATAGTTACTGGTGGTGGTGTTCTCCACCCCCAAGTCTTGTAATTTCTGTCTGTTGGTGACCTGTAGATTCATGACCTGAAAAATGAGTTGACAGCCTGGAGTGCACATGGGAACCTCTGCAAACAACCACACGCCAACTACATGAGCTAAATTAAGTGGAGATAAATAACATTTCCTTCCTGTGCCTTTTCTTTGATCTGCTGACATTCCAACCAGAGATGCCTTTAGTGAAGGAAAAGCCATGAATTCAGGGTTGGCCCAGAAATTTCCAAAGAGCAAGGGCAGCCTGAGGTTTTTGGGTAGTGATGAGGTGATTAGGAGGTAGTGTGTGGAGAGCTTGCAGGTCCTGGAGCTGGCCACTGGTTTCATAGGAGTGTTCAGGTTGTCTCCATGCCTTGAAGGCAGGAATTACAGTTACAGGAGATGTTAGCAACCATATTTAATAGCAGCTTTAAATGCTCCTTCACAGCTTTGCCTTTAGGTGCTGGATGGCAGAATGAAGCCACACAGCATGGTAAACACAAGTTTTCCTGGTGTTTAATGGCTGATGAAAGGATTACAGGATGCTGAAAGTGCTGCAGGTTCCTCAGAAGATCAGGGAATATTTGGTGCGGAAGAGCTGCCCATGGCTTTCCTCTGGTTCATCTTAGAATCATAGAATGGTTTGGGTTGGAGGGACCTTAAAGACCATCTAGATCCAACCCCCTGCATGGGCAGGGACACCTCCCACCAGCCCAGGTTGCCTGGGCCAGGGTCTCACCACCTTCACAGGGAAGAATTTCCTCCTCATGTCTAATCTAATATTTTGGCCAATCCCCACATCAGCTCAGCAGCAGATCTTCTCAGTGGAGCAGTCTCCACTCCTCCTGAGTTCATCAGACCTTCCAAAGGCAACTCAGGAAGGACAAGAAGGAACAGGCCTTTTATTCAAGGGTGTGTCCCTATGTCAGGTGTGTCAGGAGGAGGAGGGAGCTATGGAAGGGTGTGTTTGGGCAAGGGGAGCCAACCAGCCCTAGAAGCACAGGGAGTGGCTTGGAGAGGGATGGTATAATGGGCAGTGAGATGGATCAGTCTCTTTCTGGAGACACTGGTGCAAAGCTGAGAGCAGGGAGCCTGAGTGCTCACCTCCCAGCAGGGATGACTCCACGGACTGGCTCCACAGAAAAGGAGACAAGACCCGTTCCAGCTTTCCCACGGCTTCTCACTTGGGAAGAGATCAAACTCCACAATGGCCATGGCCAAGGGCAGCAGCAGTGGCTGGTGATCGACAGGAAGGTTTATGATGTCAGCCAGTTTTCCAAAAGACACCCTGGAGGCAGCCGGATCCTGAGACACTACGCGGGGCAAGATGCTACGGTAAGGTCTGGGAGAAGGCTGGGGGGGAAGTGGTGCCTTTGGCAGGGTAGGATGGCATGGTGGGACACCAGGAGCTTGTGGTGGTTGGCACTGACCAGGTAGTTGGCACTGACCACACTTCTGGTTACCCTCAAGGACAGAGTCACCTGCTGCACAATTTGTGAAGCTCTGTTTAGGTTCGTTGCACTTGCAATGTCCATCTGTGTTGTCTTGCACATGGAATGAGCAGGCAAACTGTCCCTCCAGGGGCCTGGGAATTGCTTCTGGGTTAGCAGGGAGAAAGGGAAGAGGGTTGGAAGCTGAATGCTCAGTGTGTGTTTTTACTTTGCCAGCATGACATGGATGTTGAGAAGCAAATTATCATCAAAGATAGATGAGATGGATATGAAGGAGGAAACATCCACACATCAAGTAATTTGGGAGGAAGTAAAGGCAGAGAAGAGGCCACTTGAGTGCCAGTCACTCAAGAGAGTCTTGAGCAAAAAGGCTCCTTCAAAGAAGGGGGAAAAGAAATAAAAAATCAGGGAAAATTACTGAGAAAGCAACAGAATGATGACTGGCTGCAGGAGAGGAGAAAAAATTCTACAAATAATCACTATTTGAAAATGGTGGGTTTTTTCCTTAGCTTCCTGCAAAATTATTAGAGGGTTTATCTAAAATAATTGGTTGCTTGTTGACAGAAATAATTATTATATGCAGAGTGACTGCTGAAAGTAGGTCCTGTGTTTCTGAATAGTCAGACATGTGATATGTGTCCCAGGAACATGGGATTAAGGCATAAACTTGTGATGTGGGAGACCCAGGTTTAATTTGTGTCGTGACAAGATGGTCTGACATCAAGGAAATTGCTCAGCCTGTCGAGCTCCTCAGGTTTGGGTTAATAAAATGGGACAGGACTTCCTGATTCATGGCCCAGAATGGTTCAGGTCAGTTCCTAAATGCATTTTATAGCTTTCACCTTACTGGACATGGAGACAGAAAAATACCTAGTGTTCCCAAATGAACTAAAACAAGGCTTTGGAGTCTTTCTGGGCCACCAACACCACCAGCTCTCTCACCAACCTCTTCCCTTCCCAGTAATTCTGCTCCAGTAACCCCCCTGTGCATGCTAATTCTCTGTGGTCTGCTCTCAAGAGGGTTTAAGCCTGCTTGAAAGTCTTATTTTAAATGAAAACTGCTTTTTTTGACTTGAGGATCTGAAATCAACCCTCTCAGCTGATGTTTTGTGCCTTGTGTAATGATTTTACTGCAGCCACAGAGACAAACACTGAGGCTGCTCCTCTTAAGAACACAAGACCAACCACAGAATTGATCTGGTTGGAAACGACCTTGAAGATCCTCGAGTCCAACTACACCAAGGGCAGCCCAGGGATCCCTGTAGCCTGGTGCCACCTCCTGCAGTTTCCATTCCTGGGCTGCAATGGAAGGAGTCAAGGGATCCAGGATGCTTGGCAGGATCTGTCCCCAAGCTATGTCCTCCCAGTTTCTGCAGCCACCCCTGTAGAGGCTTGAATTTGATTTATTATTGTGCTTTAAAGGCCCCCAGGGGTTTGAGCAGCAGTGAATTTGTCTGGTCTGGCTGAGTTTGAAAAGCAACCTTTGATCTTCCTTGTGTTTGTTATTACAATAATATTACAGCCTGTTTTCCCTCATTAAGCCTCATTAATACTTTGGCACATTTTAAACCTACTTTCTGCTAATCCCATTCTTGTCTTATGAAAACAATGACTACATTTTCCATCATTTTTTCCTCAGTGCTACCCAGGGGGGTTTTAAAACTCTTAAACTTGCTACCTCTTTTCCAAGGCAGTCTTCTAGTACAAAAGCTGTTCCAGAACTCTGGTTTTCTGTGGTTTGGGGTTTGTTGTGTTGGGTTTTTTTTTTGCTACAGGTGTTTAGGTTACATCTCTTTGAAGACAGAAGGACCAGAACTCCAAGCAGTGGTCAGGGTTGTGGCTACACTCTGGATTTAATCTCCTGTCTTGCTCTTGATTTTTATTGTGTGACTCTGTATCATTCTTCTTTTTTTTTTTTTTTTTGCTTCTAAAATGGTCACAGATTCTGAGAAATACAAAGTTCTACAGAAAAACAAGACTGGAAGATGACTCAAGAGATCACCTGGTGGATGACTTTGCCTCAAGCCAGGTTCCAGGATTTTTTCCCAATTACTTTTGCCTACTCTAGAGCTCATAACTGTATCTATATGGTGGGGATTCTTTTCCTCCAGAGCTCATAATTACATACATGTGGTGAGAATGATGTACTTCTGTGTGTATTACTTTGTAAATACAGGCAATATGCCTGGCAGAACATGGCACTGATGTCAGATGTTGGAGATGAGGTGTGTTGCAGATGAGAGCTCTGAAAGTTAATGTCTCCTACAAGGTGAAAATCAGGGCCTAGAGAGCAGGGAGGAGAAAGGAGAGGCTGCAGGACTGCAAGGCTTGCAGTTCTGTGATAAAAATCTCTCCTGCTGGTAGAGTGGATGGGAAATCCTGCTTGAAAGGTTTCTGGCTCCTGTTTCCAAGCTGCAGTAAGATACAGCTCGAGTCACTTTTGGTGCTCCTGGCAAGAGGGAGCTACATAAAAATGTATAAAAACTGTAGGATGAGAGGCACAGAATCATGATGGAAAGTTTTCCTCAGTCCTTTGGACCTGGACAGAGTTAGTCGCTGGGACAAAAGGCCACTAGGGAACCGTGGAAGGGTCACCTGTCCACAAAGTCACCTTGCTCTGACTTCCTCTAGGCTAAAGTACTCAGGGATAGACTGTCTGTACACAGAGGCTTGGGAGGAATGCCAGGGACTTGATTTTTATGTGCCATGATCACCTACCTTGACCTTCAGAGCCCAAATCAGCAAGTTCCTGGATGCTCAGACTCTGAGGATTTTGTTGTATCTACTGTTTTTGGAAGACAAAAGAATATGTTCAACCTTTTTACTTTTCTGCTGGAAAATTCCCTGAGGACATGAGTGAAAGAAGAGTTTTGCTTTATCTGGACTTTCACCTTTTAACCCACAGTTGATAAATGATTTTGAAACTGGTATTTCCAATGGTTCTTGGGCAGACCTTTTGTGTCACCAGTGTTACCCAGCTTCCCAAAACAGTCTGAAATCTTACTGGAAGAGATGCCCAGCTAGTCCTGCTGTGTGGGGACCTTCAGCCTGTCTCCCCTTTTGCCTGAGCATAACAAAGACAGGATTTTAAAAACATCATCCTGAGCATGGCAAAGGCACCCAGTGAAGGCACTGACACCTTCTTCTCCTCCTGGGACTCATCCATAGGGCAGGGCTGCTGGTTGGAGCCTCCTGGGAAAGGACTGTGCTGGAACAAGCAGATGAAAGAGCGTGTTTCCTTCCGCAAGGAGTTTTTCATCAAACACTTTCATGTTTATTACCAGCCTCACCCAGGTACATTTATGGTATCTGGTTTCTTGAAACTTCTCCAGCTTCCCTGGGCCAAGCTCCAGCTGGTGGCACAGAACTACAGGGAGCAATCAAAGGAACTAAAATCCTAAAGCCTCTGGACCAATGAAAAGATTCTATGATTCTATGAAACTGGATTATGTGTTGTATCAAAGACCTGGGAAAACTAGAGGCTCAGCACCTGGTCACTTAACCCTTTCTTTTCCCCCCATCCCTTTTTTGTCTTTCTCAGGATGCATTCATTGCATTTCACAGTGATAAGTCTCTGGTGCAAAAATACTTGAAATCTCTGCTGATTGGGGAGTTGGCACCAGATCAGCCCAGCTTTGAGTCAAATAAGAAAGTGAGTGTCCCAGAATCCAGTGGTGGGAATGGCTGGGCGTTCAGCGTGGGAGGAGAGGGAAAACCAGAGAGGCAGGAGAAACCATCTCTGCTACTGGGCTCTGGGGTGGCTGGTGGGACAGTAGCATGGAAACATGCCTGGTCCCAGCATCACTGCATCCCCACTGGGGTTGGAGGGATGAGCCCCAGAGCTCCACATTCTTCTCAGTCAGAGCAAAACCAAGACCAGTTGATCTCAGGCTCGGGGTTTTTTTTGCACAGACTCCCCTCAGACAGCCTTGCTCCTCTGCATTCCAGGGCTGCTCTGGGCTTCCTGGCTCTGCTAGGTTCCTTTTTCAAAACAGACAGTGCATTAATACTCACTTCACCCACAGAAATGCCTGCTGGAGGATTTTCGGGAACTGCGCTGCACTATTGAGAAGATGGGACTTCTGAAGCCAAATTCCCTCTTTTTCTTCCTGATTTTCCTTCACTTCCTGGTACTGGATGCTGCATCCTGGCTTGTGGTCTGGTACTTTGGGATATCCTTAGTGCCTTTCGTGGTTGGCATGGTGTTATTCACCACTGCTCAGGTAAAGTGCTGGCAGCTGTTTGACACTGCAGACATGTTTGGTCCTTCCAGATGGAGAGGATGAATGGAATGTTGATGCCCTGGTCGTGCTTTATTGCCTCTTCTTAGATCCTGGCATCTGGCTCAGGACCACAAGCACATTCTGCACCACAATTTTTGTTGCCTCCAGCAAATCTAGGTTTACTGACAAGCTGCTCACTAGGGTTGGTGGGCTGTTGTGGACCTGGCAGTTCCACAAGATGGGATGAGTTGATCTAATCAGCCCAGCAAAAGAAGGAATATTTCATTCCCAGCTCTACTTTTGGCTCCGTGTTCCTTCTGTTTTTTGCCTGATGGCTCTTGTGTTTGTTGGGTCTTTTATGAGTGAATTGCACCCACTAACCCTGAATAGTCTTCTGCTGGTTTGGAAAACTGAAGCACAGAAAGGCACGACACACATCAGGGTTGATGCAGGGAAGGAGGGAACAGGACCTTGTGGCCCTTAGGTGAGAGAAATTGGGGGATGAGGGGAGGAAGAAAGAACGATTTTCTTCATAGCACTGAAACCTTATGTTTGCTCAGACATCCATGGAACAAGTGCCAAGCAACTCATTACTTAAACAATCTGTTCTACTTGCCTAGTAACCTATAATTTGGAAGTCCTTATATTTTCTAGCTGGTTCCTTGGGAATTGTGTATTTGCAGTGGGGGCAAAAGATTTCCATGCTGGAAGTGTTACATGGATTGTAACGATGCTTTGCTGCTTTCCCTTAAGCTGCTCCAACCAAGTCAGTACCTGGTGTTCAGCAGCTTTAGTGGACAGTAGCCTGAAAAGGAAGTTCTCAGCATTGAGGAGGTAGGACAGCAGGTTTCTTCCCCAAACCAGAAGGAAAATGTACTCATGCCATGAAATTACAGAGACTCCTGAGGCCAATTGATGCAACGCTGCTGTGACTCTGTTCCCTCAGTGATCCTTTTGTCTTCCAGATCCAGATGGGCTGGTTCCAGCATGATCTGGGGCACTGCTCTGTCTTGAAGAAGACTAAATGGAACCGACTTATGCAGATTGTTGTGATAAATGTTCTGAAGGTAATTGGGTAATTGCCTCATGGTGGGAATATTATCTGGGGCTAATCGGGACTAAGCAATGAACAGGAGTGTCGCTACGTTCAGGGAAGGGTAGTACAGATGTTAATCACAGGTGGATAAAAAGTGATGCAATAGTTGATTATTTTTCTTTTAGCTAGACTCCCTGGTCTTCTCTTTCTCCTGCAGGGGTTGCCAGCCAGCTGGTGGAACCACCTGCACAACCAGCACCACGCCAAACCCAACTGCTTCCGCAAGGACCCCGACCTCAACATGCACCCTTTCCTCTTCAGCCTGGGAAAGACCCTCTCCAAGGAGGTGAGCATGGGGGGTGGCTGGAGCAGCAAAGATTTCATGGACAGAAAGCTATGGAGTGAGGTAAAATCATAACCCAGTTTGTGCCTGGCTACATAACCTCACGGGAATTTCCAAAGTGGTCCTAGGGCTGAGAGTCTCAGGAGAGCTAAGACGATGCTGAGGCACCAGCTCCTGAGAAGTAAAGTCTTAAATTCAGTGCTGAAGTTCTCTGAAGAGCTGGGTAAGCACCTTGGAGGCAGCCCAAAGGATGAATCAGTCCACTTGCCTTGGTGAGGTGTTCTTTGATAGTGATAGTGATAGCAGGGAGTGAATCAGATGCTCGTTCTGGGACCTTTTGGCTGTAGGAGGTGTTTAGCACCTAAATCCTTCAGGACCAAAACAACTGCTATGCATGAAACACAAGCATAGCAAATCATTTCTTAATCATGAAAGTTATGGCTTTCCTAAAAATAAAACCCATGGACAGACCCTCTCCCTGCACCCCTGAGATTTCTGGTGTCGTCAGAATAGGCAAAATCTCTCTTGCCTTTTATTTCTCTGACAATTCTCTTTACTCATGGGGTGATGAAATGGCCTCTTTGCTAGACAACCAGCCTCTTAAAATAATGTTTCACTCTCTTTTAGCTGGGAATAAGCAGAGAAATTACAGCTCTCCAAGGCATGTGGAAAATTCCAGCTCTGTAGTCTCAGAAAGGCTCCAGTAAAGAGAATTTATAGGAACTACTTCTTCATAGAAAACTATCAGCTGCAAGTGGGAAGGGCTTTGTCTGTGAAAGATTCCCCCATGGTTCTGAATTTATTAGCCCTTTAGAGTGGGCTGGTTCTGCTGGGTTGGCTTTGAGGGAGGGGAAGGAAGGAAGGAAACTAGTTGTCATGTCTTTCTGGTTGCTAACAGAAGAGAGATAGGCACCCCATGGGTGGGCAAAATTGTTTCCAGGGGCTTAATTGAGCCCAGTTCATTTGTTCTGTTTCTGTATTGATCCAGTGAAGAAATCTTTGAGGTGCTGAAAGGTGGGGTTTTTTTGTCAGTAATAGTTTGCTTTACCTCCTTTTTATTTTGTCCTTTGCTGATGTTGTTAAAAACCTTCTTGTGCAAACAGTGAAAAAAAACCACACTGTGAGGCAGTAAATTTAACTGTTCTTTTTGTTAATATTTCACCTCCTGGTGCTTCAGGTACTTGAAGGCAAAATATTCAACAACAACAACAAAGGCAGATGCCTTTAGAGAGTATTTACTGCTTTGAACTTGTGGCCATTTTAGGACAGCTGTGTCATTCTGGGCATTATCTCCTCTCTGACTCAAGAATTTGGGTTGCCTGCATCCTGCCTTATCTAATAAGGAAATTCAGGTGTAGCTTTCACAGCAAACACATCCTGCATTTGTCACCCATCAAGGTTCTGGTCTTGGTTTTCACCTTACCAGCCTGTCCTTCCCTGACCACCCATGGTCTTTGCAGGGTGAATAGGTAGAATTGGTTAGGTGAGACTTTCATCACCATCACTGGAAACTTCCTCTACAAAATTCAAATTGTTTGGGAGCATTTTTGAGCATTTTTTATTTTGGAGCTCTCCTAAAAATAATGGCTCTGTTCTGGCATGAGTGTAATGCTGGTATCTGGATGCAGAGCCTGAAATGCAACTTGTGTCTCTCCAGTGCTCTGGAGGTTTTAGCACCTGCTTCTCAAGAAGAGGGGTTGGATTAGAGACAAGAGGTGGTTGTTGACCAGCCAGAAGTAAGAAATACTTTTATGAAGGGTCTCAGGTCTTCAACTGCCCCATCACAATGTCCTTTCATTTTTCAGCTTGGAAAAAAGAAGACAAAGTTCATGCCTTACAATCATCAGCACAAATATTTCTTCTGTGAGTACCCCCATCCACCTAAAAATCATGAGTGCATCTCCTCCCCCAGAGAAAGGTTCTGAAGATACTCCCACTGAAATCCTAGATTCAGGAAGCTTCCCCCACAATGAGGAAGGTTCACATGAGGAGGGGTTGCCCCTTATGTCTCTGGGGTTATATGATGTTGGGTACCAGGTAAGGGTGAACCAAGTATGAGAAAGAAAAGGATGGGAAAGAAATGAAGAAGTGAGGAGATGAACAGAAGAAGAGATGATGTGGGCACATGAGTAGTTAGTCTGAATGAAAGCAATTTTTTTATTCCACTGCAAATAAGAAGGTTTTGAGTGAACTATTGCCCACCCCTCAATATTATATGTATATATTATAAAGATAAATATATATATTATATAATATATAAAATATAAATATATATATAAATATAAATTATATTATAAATGTTATATATATATGTGTACATAATATGTATAAATGTCTCTCTGTTTTCCTTTTTCCCTCCAGTTTTGGCCCCACTTGCAATTATACCCTTCTTCCAAGTGATTATATTCTACTTTTCAATCAAGAGGAAGCACTGGTTGGTAAGCACAACTTTCATGGGCTAGAAGATAAAATGTCACCACTCTGTGGCTGTATTAACCTTCACCTCAGGTTCTTCTGGGGGTTTCAGATCAAAAAAGGCTGATTCCAGACTTGCTGCAGCAGGAAAGGAATGGGTCCAGGGAAAAGATTTTAGGAGAGGCTTTTTAGCCTCTTAGCAGCTGAATGAAAGTGAAACTATAGGAAACTATATATTTTCATGCTGCAGTTCAAGCAAAGGGGAGAGGAGGGAGTGGATGGACTTCTTCCACAAAGGCTTGTTTTCATCTTGTTGGTTTTTGTTGTTGTTGTTTATTATTTTATTTAGTTGTTTGGCTTATTTTTTTTCTTTACAGGACCTCTTTTTGATTGTGCTTTTCAACATCCGAGTCTGTCTCATGTATGTTCCTTTAATGGGATTTAACAATTTCATGGTGTACTACTGGGGGTGCAGGTAACACACGTGGCTAATATTTTTAATCAATATCAAAGATGATGAAGTGAAAAAGAAATGAAAACTGGTTGTACTTGCTGCAGTTTTCTCAGAAATAGTCAGCCAAGAAGGAACAGCATCACTTGGGGAGGGTGGTGGTGGTTGCTCAGGAACATCTGCAGCTACAAATGGAGAAAGTCAAGAAACTCCAGCTCAGAAGATACTCCAAAATTTAGGAGGCAAAGGGATGGAATAGAAAATCCTGAATGATGCCAAAGTGCTCTTGTACTCAAGATTAGACTCAGGAAAGGGTTTTAATGGTAAATTTGGAGGTGGTTAGAGATATGACAAGTGTTCCTGTGTTTATCTGTCCAGGTACCTAGAGAGTAACTGGTTTATTTGGGTGACACAGATGAATCACATTCCAATGGACATTGATTATGACCAGAACAAGGACTGGGTGTCAACTCAGGTGAGAATTTTCTTTCTTCTGGAAGAGTGGGACTGCAGTCCTGAATTATAGGACAAAGACAATATTGGCCTCTTAGCTTTAATGCCATGGTAAAGAGGTTTGTCCTTGCTGTTCAATAAACAGGCACACATTTCAGTAGTAGTCAAAATAGTTAAAACTTCAGTAAGAAAACAGAACATCTAGATTTTTAAAACTTCCTATTTTTTTCACTCAAAAATGTTGACACATTTTTCACAACCCTTTTCCTTTCCTATTGTGACAAAGTACTGGTGGCATAACAGTCAATTTCCTTCTGAGGCCAACTAAAGTGAGGCAAAATGGGACAGGATACCTTGATTTTTTCACCCCACAGGTTATAGGTTTACTGCAGATAAGGTAAATCTGACAAGATTTGGGTCTGATTAGAATGAATATGGAAATACACCTTTCCTCACACCTCTACTGCCTCCAGCAGTATAATCCCATATAGTGGGTTCCCAATTTTTCCTTCTATTAAGGGGAAAAGACCCACCATGGTATTCATCTGACCAAACCTGGATGTCTACATCTGAACACCTGCTACACTCACTGGAGAGAAAGGCCCATCTCCAGAGCATGATTCATCTTGCTCTAAGAGAGACATCTAAATCAAGTCAGATGGTTGGCATGATGAAAATTGACTCTAAAGTGATGAGCTCAGGTGCAGGTTTCAAACTAGAGGGGTCCAAACGAGGTGAGATGAAGCTTGGGTGCACAAATGGTTGTACTCATACTTTTGCACCTGACTCCACTCATCCTGGCCAGAGGAGGCCACAAGAATGTGTTTTGTTTCTTGATGGGGCATCTTTTCTTTCCACCCAAGTAAAAGGTGTGAGGGGAACCTCTTAAAGAATCACAGCTGGGGCTGTGCTTACCAGTGAAGAAGTTGTTCTTCCTGAGCAGCTGAATTAACTTCTATCCCCAAAACTCCTTTCAATCTAGACTTCATTTAATTCTTCAGGGCAATAATACCTATAACCCCTGACACTGACTTGCCTTTCATGCTAGACAAGGGTGGGTGATGATTTCTAGGGTTCAATGATCAGCCTTTTAGAAAAATAAAAGCTAAATCAGTTATTTCTTTGGTCTTTTTTTTCCTCCCAGCTCCATGCAACATGCAACGTAAAACAATCTCTGTTCAATGACTGGTTCACTGGGCACCTGAACTTCCAAATTGAGCACCAGTGAGTATGATTCTGTGGAGAAGAGAGGGAATAATGTGAGGCACTTACAAGGCCAGGAAGTCTCCCATGAAACCATCTCAGGAGACCCTTTGCTCTCCTGCTGGGGTGGAGGGAAGAGAAAGATTTTCAACCGAGTGGTGCAAGCAAAGTCTTACAATCCTTTTCTCCTCCAATTCTCCAGCCTTTTCCCCACAATGCCCCGACACAACTACTGGAAAGCAGCTCCCCTGGTGAAAGCCCTCTGTGAGAAGCATGGCATTGACTATAAAACCAAGCCTTTACTGACAGCCTTTGTAGATATTTTGCAGTAAGTATCAACCACCAAGATGATTTTTGCACTGTAATAGCATGCAAAGCAAATTCACATCCATGGAGAGATCAATCCTGGAATTTATTTAGGTTTTTCTAAAATCACTTCAATTTTCAACATTTTTCAGAGTTTTAAAGCTCTTTTTCTTTTCCTTAAGCCTTCTCAACTCATTCCCTGTAGTCAGATTTTGCTATGAGATGTCAATGCAGTTTTTAATCCAATGTTTCCATTTACTTCTTTTTCCATCTCAACTCCAACTTCCCATGAAGTTGATTATTGCCTCCCCATACCTGGTATTTTTTTATGTTCTCTTCCTGCAGCTCACTGAAGGATTCTGGGGAGCACTGGCTTGAAGCCTATCTGCATGGGTAGAGACTGGCAGCTCTCAAAGGAAACCTCTTCACCAGATAACTGCTGCAAAAAGTCAGCACTGACCATCAGTGTGTGTGTGTCTTCTGGCATAGAAATTCGGGAGGTGGGCAAAGTTAATTTCAGTAAGAAATGGGTGGGGAAGTGGCTTAGAGGCATTTTTTTTTCTCCTTCCCAACCACTAACCTCTATTTTTCTTGCTCTGAATCTCAGCCTTTAGAGCCATGGTGAACTGGGCCTTTAAACTGGGGAGAAGTAGCTCTTGACTCAGCTTGACCAGTTTACTTCATTGGAGGAACCAGCTCGTTCCTTATGGAGAAAGTCTGAAAGGGAATTCTTCATAGTCATAGAATCCTGCAATGGTTTGGGTTGGAAGGGACCTTAAAGATCATATAGTTCCAATCTTCACCATGTGCAGGGACATCTTTCACTAGACCAGGTTGCTCCAAGCCCCATCCAACCTGCCCTTCAACACTTCCAGGGATGGGGCAGCCACAGTTTCCCTGGGCCACTTGTTCTAGTGTCTCACCATCCTCACAGTGAAGAATTTCTTCCCAATATCTAACCTAAATCTCTTTTCTTTCAGTTAAAAACCATTGCCCCTTGTCCTATCACTACAAGCCCTGGTAAGAAGTCTCCATATTCCTTCCAAGCCCTCTGCCAGTCTTGAAAAGCCACAATAAGGTCTCCTTAGTTGTTTTTGTTGTTTCTTTTTTTTTGGCTGAGTGGATCAATGAAAATGGGATAGGCCAAAGCAAACTGCAGGAAATCAGGACACGTTAGGAGAAGGAAGATCTTTAAGGAATATTCTAGATTAGATAGAATAAGTAAGCACAGAACAAGATGGCCTGGCACACATGCCCATTGCTGCTGGTTGTCTGTACACTACACCCTCTGACTACGTAGGTGTTACCAGTAAGTGTTGTTCATGGATTGCGTGGGGAGCAGGTAACTGGGTGCTAAGTTTTACACCTGTAATTGCTGTAATTGCTGATTGGAAGACAGTCCAAAGAGTCTGTAAAGCCTGTAATATTTATATGCCTAAATACATGGATATATTTTAATTGAATAGTGACTGTGTTGTCTGATTAGCTTTCTGCTCTCGACCTGCTTTTGAGTAAGACTGAGAAGCCAAGGCATGGAGGAGTAGGCCCAGATTACAAGGGTAATCTTGCTTTAATTGACTTTTACATCCATTAATTCCTACCTACGTGCTTACTTCCCAGTGATTCCAAGGGCCTGTGAACATCTGCATGGTTATTAGGCAACTAAGTACATTTGTGGCTCTGCTCCTACATCCAGAAGAGGAACTAATCATACCTGATTCTGTAGGACTCTCTGGGCCATGCTAGCTTCTCCTTCAGCATCCCCAAGATCCAGCTCCTCACCTGGAACTCCCTCTTAGCAGTTCTGCACCTGGTACTGAGCTGTTTGGCCCCAAGGAGGATCTAGCTCTCCCCAAGGAGGATCTAGCTCTTCCCTGCTTATGGTCAAGGACAGCTTCTGCTGGTGGAAACTGCAATGGCTACTCGTGTAGAGGCATATGTCTCCAAGAGCACCAGCATCTGAGAGAGTCAACAAATTGAAAAAGCTGGAGCAGACCTAGAGTAGAATATCTTCACTGAAAAGTGCTTTAAAACCTGATGGGGAAGGTATAACTGTGAATGAGGAGAGATGAGCATTGAATAACAGATGAAAGAGGTGGAGGATGTGTGAGTGAACAAGGGGATGTGCAGGTATCCATTAACAGCAGGGAAGGAAGGGGCAAGATGACAAGCTGGGTGGTGACAGCCTGGTCAGCTGGAAAAGCTAGAATACACGAAAAAAGAGAAATTACACTAAGCAGTAAAGCTCCTCTTTGTGGTGTTTTTTTTTAGATTGCAAGTCAATGCCTGTTTTAGAAAGAGTCTGTGACCTCTGATGAATCTTGCTGATTTTGCACAAGAATGATGATACAATGATGAAATGTTCTAATATAATTGATAGCTGATGTTGTCCATTGTGAGACAGTTGGGCCATACTGGCTAAACCTGTGGTGTAGTGTACTCACCTGGTTGGCTGGCAAGTAGGTAGACAATTTGTCCATAAGAGCAAAGACCATATGGAGGAACATGGTTCCTCTCCTCTACCACTCACACCCAGAACTCTGAGCCCCAGCTTTCAGTGGACAAACCACCCCAGAGAGGAAGACATGAAAGATCTGAACGTGAGGTATCACCATGAACAATGTGACCCATCTGCAACCCACTGATGGGCAACTGAGATGTGCTCCAAACTACAGACACCTCCAGCCTTCTTCTAGCTAGCAAATCATACCAAGCCCAACACAAGAAGCAGGAGTTTGCACTTTTTACTTTTGCCTTTATTTTTTAAGAACATCTTTTTAAAAATTTGATTTATATCTCTTGTGTGTATGTGCTGGTACTAGTATTATTTCCTAATAACATCTGAGAGATGTCACTGAAAGGGATCCTGATTTTAAAAGTAGTTTTTAAACACTGCTTTGCTTGTTATTTGAAAATCCCTTCTAACCAGTACCTGGAACAATTCTGCATTCCCAAATCCAGGGTTGGTTGGAATGGTGAGATCCACAATTATGTTTAACAGAAATCACATTTTGTAAGTATTGAAGTGATAGTGTGGTAATACACAAAGACATTTTTTAATGGATGTGAAAGTAATATAAATATTAAGGAGTTCTGTGGGGTTTTTACCAGTGAGACTTGAAAGCTTTGCTGAGTAGATTCTGGGTCCCACTGAAATCCTCTAAATACAAGACTGACACAAAATGGTTCTCTCTGGTGTCACTCTCCTAAATCAAACTGATTATTTGTTGTCTTTAGTTGCATTCTACTCATTTGAAAGTAGTAATTTATTGAGTCTGTCTTTTTGCAGCCTCATTTTGATTGTTTCCACCTCTTAAATTGATCCAACAGTCTGTGTGAATATTGGTTTGTTTCTTTATCTGTTTCATAAAGGTTATTAACAATTAAGCTGGTTGATCTTTGCCAAATTCTAACATGGTTCACAAGAACAAATAACAAAAATAACAAATCTGTTATTTCTTCTTCCACTTCCTTTTCTTGTTCTCTTATCACACAACTCTAGTATTTCCCTTGCACTTCTTGGCTTTTCTCTCACTCTCCTCATGGATAATTTAAATCATTGCCTCCTTTAATTCCTTTCCAGATGGGTTTCCATCTTTCCCACTCTCCAGCATTCCCTGTTTCCTCGTGATTAGACAGACTCCAGCCTTTCTGTCTTGTAAGTTCTCTGAAGGATTTGCAGGATGCTGATGTGATCTCTGTTTATATGGAGAAGTAATGTTAGTGAAGCTGCAGCAACTACAATAGACCCCAAAAGGACGAGGAAGTCTTTGAGAGAAGGAGAAGGCATATGTGGTTACTTTCCCTCTCCTGAACTTCTATCTTTCCTTTTGTTCTTTCACTCAGGCTCTAGATTTAGGGAGAATGTTGAATCAGATGGTTCAGATGGAAGCTGAAGAATTAAGAAAGGAAAAGACCAACTTCCTTCTCTTCTGTTGTCTTGGAATAGAATAAAATAGAATAGAATCATCCTGGTTGGAAGGGACCTTGAAGATCATCAAGTCCAACCATAACCTAAATCCCCCTACCTTGCCCTGGGTGGCAGGACCTCAGCTTAGCACCTGCCCTCTCTCCTCCCACCAAAAAAAGATTCCCCTGTAAGTCTTCTTCACTGATTCCTCTTCCCACCCAATCCTGCAAAACGTTGCTATAGTCCTTCAGTGTTACTGCATCAGCTCTTAGATAATTGCTTGCTGGCCAGCCTTGCCACTCTGAAGGAAATGACAGTGTAGATGCCTAGTGTGCAGCCATTAAGAGACAGTCACCCAGGAGTAGAGATGGTATCTACAGTGGAGCCTGCTGACCCAAGGTGACCATGTTCCAGCTGACCACCTTGTCTTCAGGTGGTGCCCACAGCTCAGCAGGTGTGTTCTGCTGTTACTCAGGCTCTTTAAATGCTGAGCTCTGCCTCTGTGCATGTACAGAACTGCCTGGGTCTGAGCAATTTTCATCTTATCACCCACCCATGGGTGGGGCATGTTCCATTTCCCTGCCTGCCCTGATCCCACGGGAGCGCTCGGAACATGCCTGACGTTCTGGCAGGGCTGTTCTTTGCAGAGAAGGTTTGTTTTCTTTCTAAAATGGAGCTGGAAGAGGTGATCCTGGCCTTTTCCACAACGTGGTGGTTATGGCAGTGCCCCAGTGCAGTTGTTGGAGCAGCCTGATTGCCAAGGTTCCATTTTCTCCCTAGGAAAAGTCACCCAGAGCCATCATGCCCACCTCTCCCCCATGTATGGACTGGCTGGTGATGTGTTCCTCTTCCCTTGGAAGCTTCCAAAGACTTCCAGACTGGCAGAACAGGGCTCTCATTTATGGCATTGTTTGTCTGGGCAGGAATTCAATCCCCATTTCAGATGCTTTCTACACCTTTGATTCAGTGGCTCCTGATGATTGCAAGAGCAATTCCCAGCCCCTCTAATTGCATTCCTAAGAGCAATGGGGTGCCCAGGCTGTTATCTCTAGGCAGCCTGGGCCCTGACATTGCACTTCTGAGCCTGTTCTTGTTCATACTCCACAAGGGGTGAGAAAATGATTGGCCAGAACTGAGTCAGCTGCTCAGATGTTGGGTTTTGATATAATTTTGAGGAAGTTGCTATTGAGGGACGTGGTCTGTGCACACACAGCAGTCTGAGAAGAACCCTGGTGGGGCTCTAGCACCAGGAAGGAGCAATTTAAAAATCAGTGCCTCTCCTGTCCCACTTCTGCACTGAGTTCTGTCCCCTGGAATAAGACAACAAGGTGCCTTGAATGCTAGAGGATGAGGAGCTGTGTGCAGAAGTCCAGGACAAGCTCAAAGTGAGAACCAAGGAAGTTACTGGAGAGCTTATGGAAACTTGAGCAACACCAAGTGGTACCTTCTATGATACTGTTCTAAGAGCCAGTTGGAAACATCTGTTA